CTGCTGACACAAGAGCTGTGCTGGCACCATTTGCTGCCATCCTGCAGCTCAGGAACCACAGTCGGGCCCTGTGCCTGTGAAACGAAGTGGGGTGAAAGGGGTCTGGTGCAGCATTACAGCCATACTCCATCCTAAATTACTCTATTCTAAAACATAAAGGAGGGACAGTGCTTCCCCCAAGATGTCTTCAAACATGTCTGCATTTGCCTGGAGTTACCAGACTCAGTTCAGCAGAGCATGGATAACTTTAAGCAATTCCTGCTCCCTTTGGTGGTTGGTGGCATGGACACACTGGCCTGGATCATTTATCTATATGCTCAAGGTGCCTAGATGCCCACATTCTTGGAGGGTCTTGGCTTTTATAGCAGGGAAAAAAAAAATAAAAGAGTGTGGCATGGAGCTAAACAGCTTGGAAGTGAGCACTGTGTTGCAAGAGAGATCCTTGCTAGAGAGTCATGCACCAGCTCCCAGGGCTCACTGGGCAGAGCTCCAAGAAGCGATGTCTGAGAGCTTCAGCAGCCCAGAACTGGTGGGCAACTTTCCTCAGGAAGCCTTTGGAGCAGCAGGGGTAGGACTCATATCTTCTAAGCTGTCATGTCCCCATTTATAGATGTCTCCATCTGAGCTGGTCATTCAGCATCTTTATAGTCTTCAAGGTGAGTAAGATGCCTCTAGAGTACCCTTCACCTGCCCCACTTCAGAAGTCGATGTTAGAAAGAGATGAACTGCACTGTAGGCTCCTTGGTTCCTCGCCATTCACCATAAGTGGAGCCTAGAGGTCTACACTCACCTGTGCACCCTTGCTTTGAAGACCCCAAATGCATCTGTATCAAGGTTCAAATCCCTGGTGAATTAGCTGTGCGTGATGCTTTTGAGTTCCCAGCATGAATCGTCTCCTGGCTGGAGTGTTGGGGGAAGGGGGAAGGCCTAGCCCACCCCGTCCATTCCACCAGCTTGGAGGTAGATTAGGAACCAAGTCCTCTAGGGTGGCCGTCACTTTCTCATTGAGCTCTGGGCCAGCATCAGTGGTGGGTGAGCAGGTACCCTGAGAGGTGGACCTGCTGCCAAAGCGACAGGTTTGATAAATCTCAAGGCTAGCTCATATATCAAACCTCAAATGAAAAAAAAGTGGGGAGAGCCGAGTGTCCAGTCCAATCAATATTCCTTTGATTTAATGCTATTTTGGCTCTAGGGTCACGTTCAGGGGTGTCCTTTGCGTGTGCCTGTGACACCTCTGTGTGTGTATTCCTTTTCCTTCTTCCAAAGCTTTGCCTGCTCTCCTTGTCGTGGACTTTCCCCCAACCTCACCCTGTGCAAAGTGCACTGCAGAGAGGCTGAATTCAGAGGGGTTTGGGTTCCTTTTAGGTTTCTAGCCTGGGCCTGAGTGCTCAGGGTGAGACCCACATGTGCTGCCCCAGAAGAAGGACAGCTGGGAAGCCCCACAGCCTCGGAGATGGGCTCCCTCTCCACCCCTGCCCACCAACCTTTCCCCAACCGTGGCACCTTGGCGAGCAGCAGCAGGAGCCGGGCAGAGAAACCGAGACGCGGGACCATGGCTGGGACCTGTCCCCGGGCTGTCCTGGCTCCCAGACCTTCTGCCTGGAAGGACCAGCAGCTTTTCCCCGACCTGTGACCAGGAGGTGGCTATTCAGGGGCAGGGGGTGGGATGCAAAAGGGGCCCTTCTCAACCTCCTCCGGGACCTGTCCCCGGGCTGTCCTGGCTCCCAGACCTTCTGCCTGGAAGGACCAGCAGCTTTTCCCCGACCTGTGACCAGGAGGTGGCTATTCAGGGGCAGGGGGTGGGATGCAAAAGGGGCCCTTCTCAACCTCCTCCCGGACCGCCCCCCCCGTGCACCCCGGAGCCTCGCACTGGACCAGGGCGCAGTGGGCGCTGCTGGAGCAGGAGCAGGAGCAGGAGCAGGAGCAGGATCGATCGCCGGGCCAA